GATTTGTTCAGCCTGGAAAAGAGAAGGCTTCGGGGCAACCTTATAGTGGCCTTCCAGCAGCTAAAGGGGGCCTACAAGAAGGCTGAGGAGGGACTTTTTACAAGGGCCTGCAGTGACAGGACGAGGGGTAATGGTTGGAAGCTGGGAGAGGGCAGGTTTAGACTAGATACAAGGAAGAAGTTCTTCACCCTGAGGGTGGTGAGACACATGAACAGGTTGCCCAGAGAAGCTGTGGATACTCCATCCCTGGAAGTGTTCAAGTCCAGGTTGGATGGAGGCTTGAGCAACGTGGTCTAGTGGGAGGTGTCCCTGCCATGGTAGGGGGGTTGGAACTAGATGATCTTTGAGGTCCCTTCCAACCCAAACCATGCTGTGATTCTATGAAGAATGAAAACACTGCTGTAGATGCAGCATCTACCTTGCTGTTGATGCTTCTAAAGTAGTGAATGGTCTTCTCATGCTGCATATCATCAGCATACCTGAGACCTGCAGAGTTTAAAATTCAAACCTAAATAAATATACTGCAATAAGTAAAGAAAAGGAATTCTGATTGGTGGTCACACTAAACTACAAGAACGTAATAGTTTTTGTTAAATGTTAGAAATAGCAATACAGAATTAAAATGTCAGACTAGTATAAAACAACAAAACAGACTCACTCACTCACTAACACAAGAATTTTGGATGACCAAAGAATGAAGAAAAGATATAAGAGAGTCAGCACCTCCCTTTGGAGGAAGACAGTTCTCAGTGCTCTGCAGATGTCTAAAAGGGAACCAATAGACACCTTCAGAAGCTTTGGAATTAAGGCAAGTTCAGTGTTGCAGGGAGGAAGTCCTTCCAACACCAGAGTGCAAAGCCATCAGAGAAAGAGACACCAAGGAGAAGCATGCCTTAATTGGTTGCATCCACAGATATGGAATGACTCCACGTTTTAAACGTTTTGTTCAAACTGAGGCATTGAAAAGCACTCCCTATGTTCTTATCCAAGCACACCAGCTTTGTTTTGGGGATGAAACCTAAATGCACCCCAAATACTCACCTCATCTGTTCTATTTTCATTTGTTTTGTATACTTTTTTCTACCTCTGGATCAAGCTGCTAGACATTAAGCTAGGAGTACAGCATATCATTCCCTATTTCTCAGTTAATTTTTTTCCATACTTTAATTGCACACTAAATTACCCAGATTAGGGGCTCGACCACAATACACCATGGCCGGAGGGGAGGTACATGCATATACCTCCTCTCTGTGGACAGCTTGATCGTCTATTTAGACGATCTACTTTTGACAGAGGCTTCCCAGACAGAAAGCACTGAAGCCTTTCCTTATTCAGTGCAAGAAAACAAATGCAGTTGGCATATTTCTCCTAGACACATTTCACAAAGGCAGTGCGTGTGCACAGCTAGCGTGTTTTGGAACAAACAAAAACCACAGTCAGTGAGAAGAGATAAACTCACGAATATAGCTGACAGCAAAGAAAATCCTAAAGGGAAGAATCAGAAGTCTCCAAAGATTCAGAAGGCAGTAACGGTCCCCAAGTTGCAAATACACAGGGGCTAGAAGCACACCCAGGGGAAGTATCATCTCCTTTTCCTGTTTTTATAATCTTTCCTCTTGGCTACTATGAGACAAGATATAGGCTAGGGAGACCTTTGATATGATACAGAGCAGCTGCTCTTACATTTTTACGATTTATGAGAGAAACAACAACAATAGCATTTAGAAAGTAGGGAAGAGACAACAAACTAGTTGTTCTGATCTGAATCAGCAGTTAAGAGAAACTGAAGGTCACTCGATTTTGACAAGAGACAGATCCTCATGCAATAGTCCTAGTTATATTGCCTATGTAAGCGTGTTCTGGTCTCCAAGATGGGAACATACAAAGTCCCAAGACACCAATACATACATAGACAAACACCAAAGGAAGAAACCTCAAAGCATAATTCCTTAGTAAGAATAGAATACAGCAACTGTTGTGTGCTTGTCTATTAATTATTCAATGAACCTGTGTTTTTTCTTGAAAAAAAAACACTCCAAATAATTATTTATCAGTTGTGAACCTTCAAAAGCAGGCAGTTAGCACAGAAAATCTGGCAAGAATAAATGACTGCATGCATGCATAGTTCACCAATGAAGGGTTAAACTGACATATTACTTGGTTTTATTTCCAGCCAAGAAATACAATTAGAATTTCCAGCCAAGAAATACAAAAAAAAATTAGAAAGTTTACTCCAAAATGTACTAAAAATTAACATGAGTCTTACAGATCTCAGAAGTCTTAGCTGTATACAATAGTACTACAAGTAAGTGTTATAAATATGGGGATTTTTGCTAAGCAGAAGAAAAAACCCTTAAAAATACAACTGATACATACTCTACATTTTTATATTTAATCCAAGGAGTATTTTTACAAGTTATTTTATTCAGAACACGAAAAATAGGTTGCCCATGAGGAAAGACCCTTTTTCCTTCTGTCTACTTGATATTTCAACCTTCTGTTCGGAGAAAGTCTGAAGGTGACTGACTGGAGATACTAGTTCTACAGACACCCGGCCTTCCTGGTGTATTTCAAGATTCGTGTGCTGTTTAATAGCAAACCAGATGTCCTCCAAAACAGGATAAAAATGAACCCCATGAGAATACAGAACTTCCTTGAAAATCTAGAACATATCCAAGCAAAAAGAAAAAAAAAAAAAGCCCAAAAGCCACACACACACATATTATACACACCCCACCAAATCATACAATAAAAACCCGTGTTTTACAGAAGAGAGAGTACCCATGGAATGGTGCGACAGACCCTTCAAAGTGGTCTCCAGGAGGGAAACGGGTACTAAAACCTAAATATTTGGCACTACTGGTTGGCTAACAAGAAGTATTCCCAACAGCTGTTATGCCCTGCTTCATTAGTGTGCTCAGAACTAAACAGACATTCTTCCAGCATCAGTTCGAGTCTGGTGAGCACCTTGCAATCATCCTTCCACCTCAACTCATAACAAGGAGAGGAGAAAAAACCAAACCAAACCAAGACTCTCACAGTGCCAAGGAAACATTACAAAAGCTAATGTGTTTTCCCAGGTTTTACAGAGAATAGATTAGCAGCTGAAAAGCATATTTTAGAAAGCAAATGCAGTATTGATACTCTTGTAGCCTCTGGGAACAGGCAAGGGCTCTACATCACTACTATACAAGTCATTTATGATGTGGTTTACATACATCCCATAGCCAAAGGAAAAAATGTGTTTTATTTGTTGTATTGCTTTTCATACTCTTGGTTTCAAAAATTCCTATTCTAGAAACAATCACTTGTGTTTTAATGAGGCAACCCACACCATCTACACTCAACAGAAATTCAGAACTCCAGATAACCTATAACATCCATCAGAACACAATTTACTTGTGATGTTATTTATATTAATACATTCCCACCATATTTTAAAAAAAAAAAAAAAGTAGTCTCTTTCTCACTTCCATTAGTGCTATTTATCTTCCATCCAGAACAGAGTAAATTGGAATCCCCAGCCAAAGGTAAGGAACCAGAAGGTACATCATGCTTAAAATGCTGTAGTTTAGTTACATTCTAGAAAGTATGTACTGTCAATATGTGCAAATTTTTGGGTACTTAATTTGCTACATCTTGATTTTCCAGGCACTTACATCACCTATTACTTCTCAAGATACCTTGTAGATTTAAAATTAACCATTTTATATATAGGATAGCTTCCCTATTAAATAATTTAAAAAACAGTTTCCAAGTCCTTTGTGTGAAGCCACAATGTCAAAACTATGTGGAGCAAAACTACTTCTTTATTAATAAAATAACGGTGCAAGAGTAACCTTAAAAAAGCAACTAGTAAAGTAACCTAAACCTTATTTAGAATTTTAACTGAAACCTCTAGCAAACACAGCTGAGTAACTGATGGATCTTCTTGTAATTTCCATGTTCCTCATCCCATCTGAGTCTTCATTTAAAACACAGTTCAGGTGGTAATCTGCCTATTTCATTGCAGACAGCTTTGCATATTAAAATAAGTTAACAGAAGTAACACCTGCTCAGTGTAGACATGCAGAACACAGATATTTGCAGTTACAAAAATAGAAAAATATAGATTACAGCCTGTTGGTCTCAAAATATTTTACATGAGTTTCAGCAATATTACCTTCACTTGCTGAAGATCACCACATAAGCTAGTTGCAAAATCAGAAAGCCTCAGTCCACACTAAATCTACAGAGCTCCCTATACTCATATATTCTTAAAGTAGTACAGAGAGGAAAATAAGCATCATATATTGTACCACGAAAGAGCTGAAAGCAGACAAAAGTGGAAGATGAAAAATTATTTTTTCGGCATTTCAGTTAACTCTTCACTAAAGAGCCCATCCCTCCAAAACTCACATGCAAGACACATGATTCCTCACATACCCAAGTGGATGGTGTTTACAAATACTTGCAATAACATGCATTATTCTCTACCAAGAGTGTAAAAAACCAAACTTCTCTTTTGCTTGAAGTAAGTTGGATGAGTTTGGTTTCTAGAGTAGTCAGCAATAAGAGCAAAATTTACAAAAATTAATATATTTATACTTCCTTTCCTCCTCACCATTAGACTGCTAGTATTTCCTAAAGGTTGGAACACATACACAGAAAATGCAAAAAGCAGATTTTTCAGCTCTCACTCAACCCAGATTATTTTAGGTGCTTGATTTATCCAGAGCTCCCTTAAAGTGAACCTTTTCACAGATCCAGTGGACTTTAAGGATTGGTCCTCAGCATCACCATCCCCTTCCTACCAGTGAATATACAGTGACCGTGCCAATCAGATTTAAAGAGTGTATTCCACCCAAGGCTCTAAGTAAAGAAGAACAAAGTAGGAATTAGGACTACTTACCTGAAAGGCCTGTACACAAAAATCCTAGTCAGCAAAAAAATAACATGTTAACCATTACAATGAAAAGACAAACTATAAGCATCTACATAAGATTCAGGAAACTTCATACTTCTCTTCTTGATGCTGGTCATCTTGGTCACTTAGTTCATCATCATCTACCATATGCCCAAACGGTTCAGAAGAAATTGATACCATATTAGACAGGATAACTCTGCTATCACTGCTTCCTGTAAGGATCAGCTGATCATGAGAATGGTTGTATCTGACATTCCAGACCCTAAAAAATGAAATCAGAGAGAACAAGAGGCCATTCTTGGCAGGTAGTGCACCAATGTTAAATGATTTTTTTTTAAAAAAAAAAAAAAGGCACTAAAAATTTATCTCTGACTTAAATGTTGTAAGTAAGAATAGAAGTGACATGACTCATTTCCAAAGAATGTATTTTGCCATCTTCATTTGCCTTTTAAGCCTCCACATCATTTGTTTTCTATGAAGTGTCTTTAAAATTCAACAAATAAATTTTGAAGAAAAAAGAATCCAAAGAAGAAAACACACCGTTCAGTGGTATCATTCCTTGAGGGTACATGCCAATTCATCGTTTACTAAATCAGAGAAAACTTTAAGTTCCAAATACAAAAATTTCCCCAAAGCAAAATATGGATTAGAAATAACCTGTTAAACAAAAATCTCACAACATTCTTACAGTAAAGTTTAAAACAGACCCTAAAAACAAAAGTAAGATTATATTTCTCTTCAATTTTTACATTTTACATATCAACTTAATACCAAATGTCTTACAGTTTTTGTTTTATTCTTTTAATCTTCTGGAAAAAAGTCTAAGTGCTGCTTCTGTTAATTCACATCTTCATTCCCCTCAAAGTAGCTCCAGGGTCCAGATTTATTCTGCAAGAATTACTCTAACCCAAATTTTATAAAACATGAACCGTTCATCTTTTCTTAACCACTGAAGTCTGCAAATGTCAGACTAGATTCTCTCCTTGCTCCAGCCACAGGCCAGAGCAGTAGATACAGGCTCTAAATATTATTGCAGAGACTAAAATGACTGACTTGAATATTCTGGCTTAAGGGCTGTGAACAGTATGAAGAAAGCAGGGCTGAATTATTGAGCATTTCAACTATTTGACAACAGAAGGATAGATGGCAGCTGCTTTTCTGCATGTCAGGTGCAGCAGATCAGGCTCAATTTGGAAAAGCACACTTGTGTCCCAGCTGGCTCCTACCAAGCCAAGTTCTGTGCTGTGTTTCTCAAAGGTGTACCCTGTCTCCCAACAGTGTTAACAACAGTTTCTTGACAATTAGACTAACATTGTCTAAACTCTTAATTTACAATCACACAAGGAACATTCACAAGCTGAAACCTTTCCTCTGTGCAGAAAAATGATTATTCACAACAGTGCAAACATAGTTTGCATTGTTCCTAAACAGTAAAATAATTAGCTGAATAAATTACATAAGCCATCCACCCACAAAACAGCATGCAGATAATTTGTTCTACCAGTGGGAATGCTCCTCTAGTGTCTTCACTGGTTCAGTGACATTTCTTGTGTCCCAGAATTTCACCTTGCAGTCATCTCCACAGCTAGCCAGGTAGTACTGTTTATTGGGATTAAAGTCTAGGTCTCGTACCAGCTGTCCATGTGCATTTTCTATGCAATATATCTGTCTGTAAAACACATTAAAAAAATTAAATGGTCTATAAAAAGCTAACGGTAATCGACTGACAGGAATCTGTTTCCCTGGAAACTTGCATAATCCCCTTAGCACCCGCAGACCTAGAGATCCATTGCTAGTGCATAGTTTAGGGAAATCCCAGCTGTTAACAACAGTGACTTCTACAGATTTCTCAGCTTGCTTTGAAGCTTTGC